CCTCAGGACCCTGGAGGACGGGGTCGAGGCCCAAACAAGGAGGGGGAGGGGTGGGCTGAGCCATTATCAACCGAGACCAGAAAAGCAGTCTATCGGGCGCGGCCGTCCTCACCTCGGCGATTTCTTCGTCAGACAGGTGCTCTCTCCTAGCCTCTCGTGTCACAGAAAAACTGTCTGTGGACCAGGGAGTCGGGCTGACGACAAAGCGGACACAAACCGTCGTGAACATACCCCGAGGATCTCAGCCTATCTCCCGTCCAACAGGCCCCAGAGAAAAACAGCACTCAACCCGTATTTTTCACGAGGGGAGGTGCGCTTGGACCGCATCATTTTTTGGAGCGGGTCCGAAGCAACTCTGTCGGCACTGAACTCTGGCAAGGTCTGCGCTATACGACGCTCAGGTGATCTCTGAACTCCATCCTGCAGTAGCTTATTGACCAGGGCAGGTGCCGTGTAGAGGAGATCGATAACGTACCCTCTGTCGTCGTGCCACACTGTGAAACTTGTAGCTGCCCACCCTATTCTGTGTAGGCTCAACAGCATGCGGTGTATGGGTCCCCGAGACAGCTTCCAGCCAGAAGGTTCCATAACAAGGTTTTGAGCTTCCACCGTGTCCCGCCATATCTGGATGTGTTCCCGAAACGAGAAAGGTGATGATCGTGACTGGGTGATGGGCCTCCAGATGCTCAAGGCCCATTGGGCCGCTGGCGCAACCGCCTGCTTCCACGCTGGATCGCCGTGCAAGACCAACTTAGCAGTGAGGGAGGCACCTTTGTGTGCTGGGCTGCGTCCAGCCATTCGAGTACCCTGAAGCGCCCGTAGTTCGCCATCTGCAAAGCCGAGAACCATGGCTCCGTAGCCCGCTGCAGGACGAACTCCAGCAACATAAATCTTAGACATTCTGGACTTGTGCCGTGGCAATCGTTTGCGGTATAATGATAAAAAAACGGTTCCTTTTACGCATAGCTCGTAGTCGTTGGTGTCGCTTGTGTAGTCCTCCACTGCATCCTCTCCTCTGGCCTGGTACTAGGTCTGTCCCAAGCGATACTACTGCATTCGATGCCACCGACGGACATGCCATTAGCAGCCTCCTGGAGAGCCTCGTCGCCAGCCTCTGCGAAGATGCAAAAGTCACGGCCTTGTCCTCTGCTAGGTGGACGTTCAGCCGTTCCGAAAAAATAGCGTTCAAGTCGTGGCCAGCCTTGGTTAGATTCGCCACTGTCTCATCCTCGTCTCCGTACGCGACAACCGTGTCGTCATCTATGTAGGAGCCGAACGGTACCTGTGGATTTCGGAGCGAGAACTGGTCGAAATCGTACATAGCATATGCTTTAACGAAGACGTCGTTAAAGATGTCCCCCGCAGGTAGGCCCGAGCCCGCAAAGAGCACCAGAGGGGAGCAGTTGGGGCCCAATCGGAGTATACGGGGACCTCGCCATAGATTGTAGAGGGTCTTGATGAGGACCAGAGGAATGCCCCAGTAGACGGCTCGATCTCGGAGCCATGCTAGAACAAACGACTCGTAATATTTCATACCATCCCAAATGAAACCTGATGTAGCCTTCCCAGTCGAAGAAGCCTGTTCTGCTAGGGCGCTTTGTTTCCGGATGGCCACCTCCGAACTGGTTCCATTCCCGAAGGACCAGTAAGGCCGTTGGGCCCGCTCTAAAAACACATCAGCTCGGCCCCGTCGGAGCCTTTCCCACAGGCGCACGGGCGACCCCATGAGCAGGATGGGCCGTAGACTCCCCTTCGGCTTCTCCAAGAGGGGCATCAGCATCCACAACAATTGGGACGGACAAATTCCTATCCGCTCCACCGCCTCAAAGAGTAGCGCCAGGACCTCCAGCCCCATGTCGCTGAGGCAGGCAAAGTGTCGCGGGTGGAAGCCGCCCAGCGACTGGGAGGTATGCCTGCTGAAGGACCTCGCGGCGACGCGGAGCTCCGCCGGGGTGGCTCGTGGGAAGCACTCACGATCTGGGACCCAAGCTGTTGGAGGGCTTAGACCAGCATTCCAGTGCTCACCTAACTTAACCGTCTCGTCCATGAGGAGGCTATTCGGGTCCGACGTGAATATACCAGGGGAGCTTTGCACAACCGTGGGGGCCCAAACCTTCTGAGCTCTGGTGATCCTGTGCATGAGCCTTGCGGAGCCTTGAAGAGCTTGGGTGGCCCAGGTGCCCCATGATTCCCTTGCAACCCGCTCTCCTTCAGCTACAGCCTCATCAAAATCAGCTTGACTATCTTGTAGGAAAAGTTGTGCACTCTCACACCAAGACTGCTGGGCCGAGGGGTCGGGGCGCCAGAGGAGTGCAATCTCACGCATAACGCGCAAGGAAGCATCAAGCCTGGTACACTGACCTTCTCCCGCACAGCCGTGCTGCAAGGCTACCTGGAGGTGTATGCACGTGCGCTCGTCTAAATCGTCCGACTGGACCGCCGTAACAAACTCAGTGAAAGCGTTAAACAGCCATTTCCAACCTGCGATGGTTTGGAGCCTAGCATCTGGGTCCTTCGGCCGATAGAAAACTGAAACCCAAGATGCCTTAATCGTCCTGCTCCTCTCTCCTAATTCCCGTGCTTCAACTCCGAGAACATTACATAGCTCCACTTCGGCAACGTCAACGAAGTGGCCCCAAGCCTTCGACAGCACTCTCCAAGCGCGGCTGGCCGAAGAGAGAGATGCGTGAGCAACAGCTTGCGCAGCGTGTGCTAGTGCACTTCGCCACTCTGCAGGATGGGGTGTGGGACCATATGGAGGATCAGGCGGAAGCTTCTGATGAGATCGATAGATGAGCTGCCTGCGGGAGAGGGCCTCTGCCTTGATCTTCAAACGTATTGGGCGGTGCGGCTTGACCTCCCACTTGGTGTCGACTGCGACACCGTCAATCAGTCTGGCCATCCCTGGACCCAGCAAGAAAAGGGGGAGGAGGAGGAGGAGGAGGAGGAGGAGGAGGAGGAGGAGGAGGAGGAGGAGGAGAAGGAGGAGGAGGAGGAGGAGGAGGGAGGAGGGGGCGGAGGCAGAGGCGGAGGGAGGAGGAGAAGGAGGAAGGAGGAGGAGGAGGAGGAGGAGAGGAGGAGGAGGGGAGGAGGAGGAGGAGGAGGAGGGGGCGGATGAGCAGAAAGGAGGAGGAGGAGGACGGAGGAGGGAGGAGGAGGAGGAGGAAGAGGGGAGGAGGAGGAGGAGGAGGAGGAGGAGGAGGAGGAGGAGGAGGAGGAGGAGGAGGAGGAGGAGAGGAGGAGGAGGAGGAGGAGGAGGAGGAGGAGGAGGAGGAGGAGGAGGAGGAGGAGGAGGAGGAGGAGGAGGAGGAGGAGGAGGAGGAGGAGGAGGAGGAGGAGGGAGGAGGAGGAGGGAGGAGGAGGAGGGGAGGAGAGAGGAGGAGGAGGAGGAGGAGGAGGAGGAGGAGGAGGAGGAGAGGAGGAGGAGGAGGAGGAGGAGAGGAGGAGGAGGAGGAGGAGGAGGAGGAGGAGGAGGAGGGGAGGAGGAGGAGGAGGAGAGGAGGAGGGAGGAGGAGGAGGAGGAGGAGGAGAGGAGGAGGAGGAGGAGGAGGAGGAGGAGGAGGAGGAGGAGGAGGAGGAGGAGGAGGAGGAGGAGGAGGAGGGGGAGGAGGAGGGAGGAGGAGGAGGAGGAGCGGATGAGCAGAAACAGGAGGAGGAAGGAGGAGGGAGGAGGGGGGAAGGATCAGGAGGAGGAGGAGGAGGACGAGGAGGGGGAGGAGGAGGGGGAGGAGCAGGAGGAGGAGGAGGAGGAGGTGGTGGAGGAGGAGGAGGAGGAGGAAGAAGAGGAGGAGGGCGGCCTCTCGGGAGCTCTCTTGGGGCCCCCCTGGGCCTGCTTCGGCTCCTCCCAGGCCGTCTTTGAGGCCTTTCGGGCCGCTCAAGGCGGGGGGGGGGGTCTTGGGGGCTAGGCATCAGGAAGTCGAGTTTTGGCATCTTCCTTGTCCTGTTGCACATGGCAGTTCCAGATTCCCTCTTACTGTTTTATCCTGGCAGATTGCGGCGTGATCGGCGTCAGAAAGTAGAGTACAGTCGAGTTTGATTAGTAGGACGGCCCTGCCAAATCAAGGGTACCCTTGTGTCTTGTGTTTAGCGGACCATGCTTTCTGCATTCCTATGGCAACGAGGCTTTTGGAAAGGTGTCGTGTCCTCTCGCGTGTCCTCTCCAGTCGAACTCAATTGTGGTGAAATCATCCTTGTCCTTTTGTCCATGACAGTTCCAGATTCCCCCTCACCTTTTTCTACGTGGCAACTTCTGCCGCGATCAGCATTGGGGGTGCATTCACTCTTCGTAAGCGACGCAAGTCTGAGCAACAGAACACAGAGCATGCCAAGCACATGTAATGCGACGCAGCTTGATACACTACAGCGCCCATCAACCAAAGCGACGCATCGCAAGGCAATCAACGCAACGAAAAACAACGGGCATCCATTCAACGCCATGCAAATGAAACTAGCACTTCTACACATAGCTGAACCGATTCAGCGCAATCAAATGTAATGCGAAGCGAAGCAGCTCAAGTCTAGCAAATACGGAACACCGCAACACACTGCAGCTACTCAAGCGATGTGTTGGAACGCAGCGCAAGGCAAGGCAACATTGTACCATGCATGATGTCACTTGCCCTCTTTACATGAACGGAGCTAGAACCCCGTAGGCGCAGCTTACGCTCAGCCCACCTTCTGTTATTTGAGCTGACGAGATTGTCGCCCGACTTTCCAGCGAAGGGCTTGCACACGAAGTCCCGCCCCACTTCCCCCCCCGTGCTCCACGCCATTACGGTTATTGTGGAGGCGCTTGGGCTTAGAGGCGTCAGGTTAAAATCATGTCTTCGGAACAATGGTACAGATTTCTTGACAGGCGATCGCACGAACTAAACGATAGGCCTGACATTACTCTTGTCAGTCGTCGCCGCGAAAATCCAAGGACTGAGACACGTTGCACCTATTTATAATTTTATACATGGTCATACGCTGTTGTGTCATAACTTTCCTTGGCCTATCAGGCGTGCCGGTCGTGCTCTGGTCCGACACTCTCTTCAAGGCGGAGGGCAGTACTCCCGGATGGGTATTCAGTTTCGGCTTTTTGGTGGTGCTCGCGGGTACGAAGACTTTACGCCAGCAGTGCCGCCTCCCAACTTCGTTGCGTTTCTAACCCGTAGGTTACAGATGGTTACCTGCCTCTATTCAGTATCCGGTGCAAGGCTTTCAGAAACCAGCGGAAGGCACAGCATATCGGTGGGAAGTTTGATTGGATATAGATATTTACAAATATATATAAACAGACATACATCAGAGTGAGGGGGCCGAGCGGTCATTCATTTTCCCTGTGTGCGTGGCTGAAGTGAGAACCCGTGGGGAGGATTCTGTTTGTTGCGTTGTTGTTGTTGCTGCTGTTGTTTGTTGTCGTCGTCTCCCACGCGACCCACCCGCGACCTACCCCGCGACCCACCTCGCGACCCCACCCGCGGCCCACCCCGCGAGCCACCCCGCAACCCACCCCGCGACCCACCCGCGACCCACCCGCGACCCACTTGCGACCCACCCGCGACCCACTTGCGACCCACCCGCGACCCACTCGCGACCCACTCGCGACCCACCCGCGACCGATCCACGTTGGTTTGAATAAAAATCGGTTCCTGCCGTGGGCTCGTTGTATGATTTGTGAATCTTTGGCGCCTGCGGCGGGCTTCCCCAGAGTCTCGCAGACTGCCGAAGTCCCCACCGCCCCCTCACTCGTATCCGCATCCGCGGGGTTCTACGTATAAATGTATATAGACAAACTTCGGGCGCCCAGGCCAGGGGCGGCCATGTATGTAGCACACGCAGGGTACCTGTAATCCCAACTCATGCCCCCCTTGCACTCATGAAAAAATGTTTCGCACGCGCAAAGTGATCATCGCGTCGCACTCGCATGAACGTGCGATTAGCCCATACAGCAGAGGAGGGGGTTTGGGACAAGAAGGGTGAGCAGCCGGGTGACACAGTGCGTAGCAGTTTTGAGCACCTGGCAGGAGGATGAGGAGGAGTTACGAACAGGAACCGAAAGGACGAGCAGGAGAGCTAGGAGGAGAATTTGGAGGAGGCTGAGTTGGCTGGCGAAGAGGGAGGGAATGAGAAAGGAGGGTGGAGGAGGAGGAGGTGGAGGAGGAGGAGCAGTGCCAAACGTGGATCGCGCGCCCCACGAACGCCCGAGAGAACACGATTGGACAAATATTTTGCTTCCAGTGGATAAATAGGCGCAGAAGAAAAGGTGGCGGAAATATTTGGACCCGCCAGGTCGCGGATTGTCGGGCTCCGTTGAGCTAGCTGGTAGAGTCACGGGAGCGGTAAGAAAACATGTCACGTCGCGTTGAGAAAATGTGCCGGCCAATGCCCGAGGCCACCTCGCCGCGGCATCGCACGAAGAGGAAGGAGACGTGGGGGGACGACGACCACTTCGACGACGCTAGAGAGGAGGAGCAGCCACGAGGTGACGCGGAGCGCTTTCGGCAAAACGGGGAATGATCCTGCCCGTGCGCCGCCCATTGCCGACAGAAGCGCACAATCTGGTACACATGAATATTGGCCCTCGCGAGAGGGTCGTGAGATATGGGTGGGGGCCTCCTGCCAAACAACGGAAAGAAGATGACACCCTGGCGGCAGCAGACCCTAAACGGCTTTACCACGATGGGGGGCCACAGTGCGGGGCCACGATGGGGGGCCACGTTGGGCCACTGATTTCGGGGGCCCGGGGTGTGGGGCGGGCCACCGATTTCGGGGTCACGGCATCCCTCACCGGGCGTCAGAAGAATGCTGTAGAATCCGTGTGGTGTTCTTCAGAACGTGTGTTAGCCTTGTGTGTGCATCCCGCTCAGCTCCGCCGACAGCACGCAGCTTGTGTCGGCCCCCATTGCACCGCTTTGTGCAGGATTCGGTGGACGAGCACGCGCTGGCCCTAAGACGTGGTCTGAGGATCACCGGCCGTCACAGACAAGCCGCCTAGTGAACATCGGAGGTTCATAGGCTCGGTGCACGACAGCCCGCGCCGCGCCACGCGCCAGATCTGTTTAATCGGCAGCGCCGGTGGTCGCAGGCGCGGGTGTCGCTGCAGGCGGGGCGCGCCGGGCACGAAGCGCAAAGGCGGGCGGAAGAGCAGAGGGCGGCCGCGGAGGAGGAAGCGGGAAGGGCCCAGCCGCCGAGAGTCGGCGAGTGAGCGGTGCGCAGGTTGCCTGAGGCACCAGGGACGGGGTGCAAAGGTGGCTGTGGTTTTGAGAGCCTCAGGTGGGCGAGCGCAGGCGCGCGAGTGTGTGCTGCGCCTTGCTCCGCGGCCCGGGCCGCCAGAGGGGAGGTGTATTCCAGGGCTCAGGCAGGAAAAGCAGACACAGTCACAAATAAACGTCGATCCCCATGAAGATTCAAGAAAACATGGGGAAATGGCAGGGAAGAGGAACATACCGAAAATATATAACAAAAACATGTCAGCCATCATGGGCCCCAAACAGTTTGTTCTGGCATTCTAGGTTTTGCAGTTTATGTGGGGCAATCTATGTGATGCAATCTACGTGGCGCAGGCTATGCGATCCAACTTTTGTGGTGCAGGCTATGTGGTGCGATCTATGTTCGATGCGTTTATTATTTATATATGTATACATACACGTCCAGGTTGTACAACACATGCTGTGCGATCGTGTGCGATCTGTGTCATGCACTCCACGTGGTGCAGTCTAGACGGTGCACTTGATGCGGTGCAATCTATGTGGTTCAAGCTATGTTGTGCGATCCTTGTGGTGCGATCTATGCTGTGCAGTCTACGTGGTGCAATTTACCAATGCTCGCACTGAGCTGTCAACTCAACTGCTTGCGCATTTGGGAGGCCTTTATATGCCCTGCCACCTGGCAGCCGAAGTGAGGCGGGCCAGAACTGGAGGCGCGACACGCTAGGCAAACGTTCCCGACCGTACAGCCCTTGGTTTTGTCGCAGTCGAGATCTTCCCGCTGCCCTGCCAGTGGCAGACGAGATCAGGAGGAGCTGTTGCGCGCAGGGTAGCGTACCCAGCAGCCTTCATTTGGGATGCGATGTGTTGGGAACTTCTCGCTTGGTCCGTGATTTGGTCAGTGCCGGCGCCCCCTGCTCTCAACATCCCCTTTCCCGCGTCGCCTGTTCCTATTGTTGCTGCTCATACGGTGTTCCTTCTGCCCCTGCTGCTGCTCCTGACCCTGTTGCTTTTGCGCCTGATCCTCATCCTTGCACCCTCCTCCTACGGTGAGAAGGTTTTGCCTAGCGTGTCGCGGCGGCGGCCCTGGCAACACGCCATGCCTTGCAAGCGGATAGCGTGTCGCGCCGAAGCGTGGTGGGCCATACCCGACAGCGCGACACTCTAAGCAAAGTTCCCGACCGTACTTCCTCTCTCCCTTTTCTTCCTCCCTCCCCGCTGCTCCTCCTCCTGACCCTCCTGTCGGGGTCGGGTCTCGCCATCGCTGCAGCCTGCCGCCTTCCACTAGTCGAGGGCTGGCCGGAGTCTGGGTACTACGGCGTCAAGAGGAGCGCAGGGTGCAAACCGCTCGCCTACAGCGCCTCGCTCCGCCCTCCTGGAGCTGCCGGAGGTTGACAGAAGCCCCACCCAGCCTCGGGTGGTCCCAGAAGCGACTCTGGCCCAAAGTGCCCCCAGGATTTCGAAGGAGGCCCCCACGGCTTCCAGAGCACCCCTCACGAGGCCCGGGAGGACCCAGAGCCCAGGGGCCACAGAGCGGAGCGAAGAGCTTGGGGCACCTTGGGCCAGGGGCACCTTCTGCAACCCCCGACCTGCAAAGGCGATTGGCGAATTCTGCTTTTTGGTTCTCGAGAGGGCGGCGCGGCCGCCATTTTGGGGGGCATGCGCCCGCGGGGTCTGGTCCCGGGCTGTTTCCACTAAGGGGTGCTTTGCTGCACGTGCGGGTAAGACTTGTATCCATATCCACTGCGTTTTGGAGTATTGGGCTTCCTTCCCCCGAACGCAGAGGCGCAGTGGATATGGATAAAAATCTGGCCCCTAGTGGCTAGAATCGAACGGGCGATTTCTGCCGCTGCTGGCAGGGCGGGGGTGAGGGGTCCACCCCCCCTCCCCGCACACAACCAAGGGGGGGGAATGGGGGGGTCCGAAATCCCTCCCCGGGAAAAGTATTCGGAGGGGTCCAGAACCCTCCCCCCTCCCGTTCTGTTTCCCCCCCCCCGTTCTCCCCACCCCCCCTCCCTGTCCCCCCAACCCCGGAAACGACGTTGACGACGACGACGGCGCCGACAACGACGGACGACGACCACGACGGAAGACGACCACGACAAAGACGACGACGACGACCACGACGACCATGACGACCACGACGACGACGACGTCGACGACGCGCGACGACGACGACGACGGACGACGACCACGACGAAGACGACGACGACCACGACGACGCCGCCGCCGACGCTGACGACAATGATGACGACAACGACGCTGACGACGACGACAAGAACGACAATAATGGCGACGCCACCGCCGACGACGACGATGACGACTATAGAGCCCTAGTGGGATGTTGTTAGCGCTGGACCACCCCCCAGTGAGATGAGATTAAACCTGAACCTAATTCTAGTATGATCCCGTGAAAGCTGGATTGAGCCCTAATTGGTATCTAACTGTTCCTATTAGGGTTGGATCCATCCTTAGTCGGACTTGATGCAAGATGGATCGAGCCCCAGTAGGATCCCATTAGAGCTGGATCCAACTCAATCGATATTATGCTGCAATGCCTGGTCGATTCCCAGCAGACCGAAATCCAGCTCGGGGATGATCCAAGCAGATCTGGATCTAGATGTAGTAGGTGTTCAGTCAAACTGGATCGATCCCCAGCTGGATCTCAGTAGAGGTGGATCCAGCCGTTGTCGGATTCTTTTAGAGATGGATGGAGCCCCAGTAGGATTACACCAGATCTGTGTCGAGCCCGATTAGACTGACAGCTCGATCGACCTCCAGAACGATGCTATTACAGTTGGATGGGACCCCAGCAGGGTTCTGTCGGAGTTGATTCGAGCCCGAGTAGGTTTCGAGTAAAGCTGGATCCAGCCGTGGAAAGTTTCTCTTTGAGCTCGATCCAGGCTCGGCTGGATCCTGTTAGGTTTGGATCGACTCCTAGCGAGATTATTGTGCAGCTGGTCTCAAGCATAGCAAGATTTCACTGGAGTTGGATCCATCCGCAGTAGGATTGCATGAACGTTGGATCCAAACTTGAAAGGACTGCGGTAAAACTGGATAGAGCTTTGTTAGAACCAGTTCGACCTGGATCCAGTAGGGCTGGATGACCCAGGATAGATCCCCAGTAGCGACCTATCAGAGCCACGCGAAGCGTGGACGGCGGCGACTGGAGGTGTGAGGTGGAGGCGCTTTTGGACCCCTTAAACAGTTTTTCTCGTGGGGTGGGGGGTGGGAGTTGGTTGGTGGGGGAGGGGTGCAGCGAGGTTAGGGGGGAGAGGGGCTCCTTGGTTTTTGCTCACCCCCCCAGTCGGATTTTTGTTCAAAGTGGGGCATGCACCCCTAAGGTTCCGGACCCTCTCCTCAACGTTATAGTGATGTTTCAGGCCAGCGACGTTGGATCGGGCTCCACCCTAGATTCTTATATACATATATATATATATATATATATCCAATTCTCCTCGGCCTTTGGGCGCTCCTTCCTAGCAAATCGAACGCAGTGGATATGGATAGGAATCGTTCCTGCAAAGGGGGTGCTCGTCCACCCCCGACGCTACCTGCTGAGGAGCATCGTGCGTTGGCGCTCGCCCGCCTGCGCGTCACCTCGATGGCCGCTCTCTTGCAGTCATCGGCATGAGGAAAACCACACATACACCCTTTCTAGAGCCCCCTCCCATGATCCGCTAGAGGCTAGAGCCCGCCCCCCCCCCCATGTTGTTTGTTTTCCTTGTTGTGTTGTCTCTTTTTGTCTCTCTTTCTCTTTCCCTCTTCCTCTCTGCGTCTCTCCCCGTCAGTCCAGCAGATATAGCCGCCCCCCAACAAGTCCTCCTCCCCTCCCTGCGTGTCATTTCCCTCTCCCCCCTCCATGATTGTTGCATGCGGTGACAGGCTCCTGTGATCTCGGAGATCCGATGTGACAAGACCACAACCCAGACAGCCCGATCAGTCAGTCAGTCCGTCAGTCAGTCACTCCACGGGCCCCCGAGGTCCCGACCTGCCCCCCAAGGGGCATTTTTTCGACCTGGAAGAATTGATTGTGGCCGGGGAGGCCCAGAAGCCGAGGTGGAAACTCGTTCCGGGTAAGAGGCCCAGACCTGTGGGTTCCACAGTGTGAGAGAATCACTGCGTCGGGGGTCTGGCCTCCGAGGCGCAGATTTTTCTCTACGCGCCAACCCCTGGGAATTCTCGATCCCTTTCTTGGACAAGGCACGAGGCGGGCCCCGGCGAGCCCCAGAACTGAGGGCGGCATGCGGTCTCGATTTTCTCGCGGGGGAAGATGTCCAGGGCGTGCGCCGGGGGGAGGGGCGAGAGCCTGGAGATCCGGAGGGAGACGCGCCGCCGCTGGGCTCCCCACGGCCGCGTGCAATCAATGGTGGGCCCCCCCTCCACAGAGGAGTAGCCTCCGTCTGCTGGCCTGCTTCCGGTGCATGACCTCATGCATGGCCGTCGTGCTATGTCGAGAGGCCGGCGCCCCCTCCTGGCCGCGGCGCCTCCACCGACTGAGTGGGGGCGCCCTTGACCCACACTGGACCTGGGGGGGGAGCAGGAGTGCGGTAGGTTCGCGTCGTGTCGACCAGGGGCGGCCCCGCCGCCAGCGTTCAACTTTTTAATAACGCCGCAGGCGATCCAGAATCGGTCCATATGACGCTTTGGAAACGGCCGACCATCAAATGTTGAACAATCCCCGTGTTGTCAGGAGCCAACGCCGGGGTCGACTCGACACGAGCCCGCGGTAATACTTTTGCACGGCAAGTCGTCGCAGCCAAGGCCTGCAAGCCCCCTGGTCAGCATTCATTCCTCATATCACAAGCACGGAAGCTTTCAGAGCGCGGTTGCGTCAGCGAAGCCGAGCTGCAGGAGCAGTAGGAACAAGAGAACGGGGGATAGGAGAAGGAGGATTCGTCCTCCTGCGTACGGAAGTCTCTCGCTCTTTCTGGGTCTCCTGGAAGGCCTTCGTCACGGCTGCATTCGGCTCGAAGTCCCTGGCAGAATCCGACCCTGGAGAGGTCCAGGGGCTCATGTGGAAGAGGGTGTTGGGCTGGGGGAGAGGAAGGATAGATGGGGAGGAGGAGGAGTCCTCCAGGAGGAGGAGGAGGAGGAGGAGGAGGAGGAGACTGGGGAGGAGAGGGATGGGTGCGTCATTTGAATTTCTGGGTCGCTCTGATGGGGTCGTCCTAGACCCCATTTTTCTGCTGCATTTGTCGAGATTGATCGATCTGTGATGGTCCTGGATTCGAGACCACTGAAAACAAACACCCGCTGGAACAAACAGCAACGTCTGGATCTCAGGGTCGGCCAGGAAAGCGTTGACATCGTGTCGGGACCCAGGCCCTGGCCGGGCGTGGTGGTGGTGCATGAGCAGGTGCCTTCCGCGTGAGGTGCGTACGCTCTGGGCCGGCAAATCCTCGCGTCTGGCGCGGCCCCTGCTGGCCAGGGCATGGGGCCAGTCGGTCAGGGGCCCCCACACAACGACATTGCTATTGTAACCAGGGCTCCACCTGGAGAGAACCAAGAATGGAGGACACTTCGGCCCGCGTCTGAAGTTTTCTAGGGGGTTTGTCAAAGTCACCCTTTAGGGGGCCAATTGAGTCCCACGCGGATTTCTCGTTCTGATCAGCACCGTGACCATGTGCGAGTGCCCCTGGGTCTGGGATGCCCATCCTCCTCCTCGAGGATCGAGGTTCGATGGTCGAGCTGTAACTGTCTTTCGTCCATGGATGGTTGCGCTTTCTCTGGGCTTCTTCGTGGCCACGTCTGCATCAGCCTCGACGTTCAGGTCCGATCGCATCGGAGAATACCGTGTGTCCCGGGTGCTTGATCCAGGATCGATCGCGGCTTTCCGATTGCGCAGATTGATCTATGTCGGCCGATGCCGGGCCACTGGCGGCGTTCAACCTTGAACGCCGCGCTTGGATCGCCGCCGCGTTAACGCGGCCGGAACCTATTGCACCATTGCATATCATCTTCGACACAGTTAACCGACAAAATATTGGGTGGCTTTGGTATTTTTTCCTTTAAAGGGCCTCCTGAGTCATCCGAGGACTTTTCTGGTTCTCCTCCGCCCGTCCTCCGAGACCTCCGTTGCTTTGTCCTCTTTTCAAGCTGACTTTTCGGCCGAGGGACGCCGTCCTCGGGCTCAAGGGCGGTCAAGAAAACATCCACGACTGCAAAGCGGTTCGTGGGAACGGATTCAGAGTTCCAGGGCCCACATATTGATCAAGTCACTATGTCGGACGGGTCGGTTCTGGAGCTCTCCAGTCGGATGTCTGCGTCATTCCTCCTTCCCCTCCTATTCGCATTTACGCGGCCGCGTCCCTGATTTCTGATTTCGCTCAAAGGCATCATCGAATATTCCAGGGCATCGGACGCCCTGATTCGTTCCAGCCGTGGGCCCTATCAGCAGCTCTCGACCCCAACCCTGGCGCTGGTCTTTCGCTCCGGACTCTCTTTCGACGACCCCAGGGACGGACTTTGGGGTATCAGATGTAGGCGTCGGACGTGTGGGTCCCTGGAGGTCCGCAGAAGTCTTCAGGTCTCTGGTCAGCCCACATGCCTCCAGAGGCCAACACTGAGTCAATACGTCCAATAATGTTGGTCCTCGACCTTTCTAGGTCTTGGATCCTCGTCTCTAAGTGATTGGCGAAGTTTCTTCGACCGGCTTGCGGGTACACAGCCAGGTTATCGACTTGCTGGCGTAAAACGATGCATTTCGATCCTCACCTGAGTGATCATCGAGGTGAGTCCAGAGATATCTGGAGACACGTCGATCGCGACAGAGCCAGAGGGACCCATGAGCCGCGAGAAATCCGGGTACGGACCCACGGGCGTCAGGAGCCAGTGAACGCTTACTGGTCGGGCTTACAAAGGATATATCTTTCTGGAACGCTGTCTGAGCGTTTTGAAGGAGCACTCTGGAACGGCCGCGGCGCCCAATATGTTCTCTCCAGAACCGCCAGATCTTAGAGATTCCCGATCTGTCCAGTCCCATTGTTTCCTGGTCCTGGTCCCGGCGTGGAGGGGGGAAGGAGTTCGGGGAGGGAGCGTTGCGAGGCCCGAAAGGGAATTTGCACTTCACGCAAGTCGGGACTCGTTTGCACGTCGTTTCGGCCCAGCGTTGTTTAAAAAGCCGGCGGATGGGGAGGGGTGGCGGGTTTCGAACTGCCACGCAGGTAAACTGGACTGCGTCTACAAGACATAGCCATCCTTCAGCTGGGGGAACAGACAGGTGCCGATACCGCTATTCCCTGGACCGAGGCGAATCCTGCCATGGCGACGAAGTCCTCCCAGCAGGCCTCAAGAGGCGAAGACGAGGCAACTGCAGCGGTATAGGTGCCTTCGCCCGCTTTAATGTCCCGCCCGACCCGCTCGCTAGGGTCCGCCCGCCTGGCCCGCCCGTTAGGATCCTGCCGCTCGACCAGCGTCAGGGTCCGCCCGCCCGACCTGCCCGTCAGGGTCAGCCCGTCCGCGAGCTTGGAGGCCCTCCTGACCTCTTGAATACCCCGCCCGCCCAACGGTCTCTCGACCAACGAATGCCAACGAAGACGGCCGCATGGAGGGGTGCAAACGTACATTCCACACCTTTGATCTCAATACCTGAAGGCACCAATTGCCACCACCCAGATTTTTCCTCCCGTTACGCTTTCAGCCGTGAGTGACGTCTTTTTCCCTCCTGTATTCTGCGGTCGCTTCTCCCCCCGCGCAGCGGGACAATTAGTCAGTCGCGCGTCCCCGACTACTGCGAGCGCCCGTGCGGATTGCCTCTGCCGTGCTGCGACGTGAAGCTGTTGTTCTCCCGTCAGGGTCTTCCCGCCCTCTCCTCCCCTGATTGCGAGCTGTACTTCTGTCGATATCCACTGCAGCTTGGAGTTACGGGCTCCCTTCCCCAGAAACCCGAGGCGCACTCGATATGGATAGCAATATGCCCCCTAGAGGCTCGAACTTGATCCGTATCCAGAATCCAGTGCGCTTCGGCCTTGTGGCGCCCCTTCCAGTCCAAAACACACTGGATATGGACAGAAGTCTTGCCCGCACCGATGCCGCGCAGCGACCCGCGAGGTATTACACCTGCCTGTCCTCCGCCCTCTGGCTCGCGGGGATGGTCCTCGTGCTACTGGCTGCCTGCCTCTCCGCCGGGGTCCTACGGCAGAAGGCGCTGGGGGGGGCCCACCACTTGGCACCGCTCGGGCGTGTGCTCTTCTGTTCGGCGGGGCCACCGGCCCGCACAGGTCCCTGATCGAATGCTTATATGCCGAGGCCCTATGCCATGTAGCCAACTGGCACACAACCGCCTGGGCCAACGGTTCTTCCCTGCCAGCGACTGTCTCTTCGACCGATGTTCTTCGCAGGGGCTATATTGTTCTATCTTGGATCAGCGGGAGTAAAACACATCACGTACGAAGAGAGACCTCACGCGAGCGACGCAGAAACACGGGGCCGTCCTCTCCGACTTTGGCGCGTGAGAGCCTGCGCAAGGTCGCGCTCAGGCGCCCTCGCCCGCGTCAGCCGCGGCGTGAAGTCTATTATTCAATCTCGCGTGAGACCCGTTTCCTCGCCCACGTGGCCCCCAAGTCCGGGTCAGGCTCAAGGGGTTGGTTGAGCGCTGGCCCGAAAGTCTCGAACCCCGAACCCCTACCGTTGCCCCTAACCTCTCCTGGGATGCAGCCGTGGCCACGCGGGCTCTGCACGGCGATCAAAAGCCTCCAGAAAGCGAGCCTCGATTCTCCGCCCTCGAGCAGCCAGAGGGGCGTTGGCCGCCCTCGATCCTCCGCCTCCATCAGGGCCGATCCTCGCTGCACGAGCCCCGAAGGTGTCCTGCGGCATGGTTCTCACCGCGCCCCGGGCGAAGAGCGCGGCTGGCGCGGCCGTGATCGGCCACTCGCAGGAGGAAGCAGGAGATCTCGGCTTCCTCTCGGGGGGGGTTGGAGTCGGCTGGGGTTCTGAGGTGGCCCAGTATTGGTTCCGGTGAGAAGGAAGGGGGGGAGCAGGTGCGAGGCGCTGGGTTCGGAAAAGGTTTTTGTTGTCTTTCTCGGCCTACGAGAGCCGTCCTCGAGCTCCGGGACCGTCGAAGACGGATCCGCTGTGACAAATTTCACCAGATGGCACCCGGGAGGGGTCTGGAGATCGATGTTAAGCGGATTGCTTTCGTCCCCCCCTTCTTGACAGATGTTCTTTGGGTTTCGGCTGCACGTGAGAGTGACCTTTCGCCAGAGTGATCTCTGGTGCGGGCACGCTGGGGCCCCCAGATGACCGGACGGGATGTGATAGCAGCTGCGGCGACCGAGTCGCCCGACGGCCGCCAAAGCGTCGGCCGTCTTCGCCGCGCCGCCGGCCGCCGCCGACGACCGACGACCGCGTCGCCGACGCTGGCGATTCGACGCCGATCTCGACGCGATGCAACCT